TATTCGTCCTTTGTTGCTCTTGGAAATGCAGTCAATACTCTGGTATCACAGCACACAGCTCTCAGGATCGCGCTGTTTCGATTCTGGGACAGCTGCATCTGGCATGGGCCTCAGGCTGCTTACCGACCAACAAACTTTTTAAGCCAGATATCAATGGCCTCTTCTGATTCAATTATTTGTTAACAAATGAGCTTGCTAATGAATGCCAAATTGGCTTGCCTGAATTAAAACAAAGATGGCTTATAGATTAGCCTAACCAGTTTTCAGATATAGACTCTATCCGCAATGTAAATATAAATTCTTTTTTTTTTTTTTAAAGATGACCGGTAAGGGGATCTTAACCCTTGACTTGGTGTTGTCAGCACCACGCTCACCCAGTGAGCTAACCGGCCATCCCTATATGGGACCTGAACCCGTGGCCTTGATGTTATCAGCACCGCACTCTCCCGAGTGAGCCATGGGCCTGCCCATAAATATAAATTCTATATGTTAATATAGACAGAAAGTATTAAAGAATGTAAGGTCTATTTTTCAGAAAGGAAAACTGAAGCACAGAAAGATGAAAACAGTTGTTCTCGGGCCATTTGATTAGAAATGCTAAATATTGGAAATAAGTATGGTTTGTATAGCCAGTCATTCACTAACTTGATATCCTCAGTGTATCATATAATCCTAATGTTCAGAGCATGTACTGCAAGAGCAGTTTCTAATGGAAATTGTGATTAGAGTGTCATGATCATCAGTGATAGCATTAGCACAAATATCAGCTTAACACAAACCATACTAAAGAAGAGTGGCATGTGTTTAGAAGGACTCTGAAAATTTGGTTCAACATTACATTTCTTTTTAATCCAGGGACTTTGTTTATTGATATGGGAAAAACAAGGAAAGTTTTACCTGAAAGTTTTATTTATTTATTTTTATATATACATATATATAAACAAGAATAATTTAAACACACCGATACGTTTAGTAACACTTTCTTTGAATTTTCACAAATTTTAATATAATTAAACATGTATTTTGGACTTGTTTTTTAATGTGTACTAGTCTCTTACTGTGTATATCAACTTGTTTGGTTTTTTTTGTAGCTGTGTTTTAAATTGATTATATTTATGCAAAGCAAGGGGGCTTTGTAAATCAGGCTATTGTGACTTTTCCTAATTTATCGTGGATTTGTCAAAAATAAATCAAATTGACATTTCTTTTTAAATATTAAATGTTAAATTTTCTGACCATGCATACCTTGGAAGGACAGTTTACTTCTAAATGGTAAACACAAGATAAAAGATCCGATGACTTCAAGTTAGATATTTTGTAAAACAATGAGTAATGCTAATTTATATATTTGTGTTTTCTGTCAAAATTCTAGGATAAAAACTTTTTTAAATATAAACAAATTAAATGTGTTTTTGTTTGAATAGTTCCTATATCCCCCAAGTAGTATTACATAATAAATTTTCAATACATAGGTTTACCCAATGCTTACGGGATTCTAATAGGTTAACTTTGAAACGATGCTTTACCAAGAAGCACACTGAAAGCAAATTCTTTTGAAATATATGAGATCAACAGAGGTATGAAATTTATGTCCTTATAATTTGTTATCTCATGGCTGGTAACTGATACTGATAACTGTTCTTGAAAGGAGGGTCAAGTTTTAACATATAACCACCTTTTTATCAATTACTTGGAATATTTTTACTATGGTACTTCCTGTGAATTACTATTTTAAAGCTAATAATGTTATTATTGTACAATAGCACTTTTGCAAAAACAAACAAAACTTGACAACTTTATTAAAACCTCTCACTATTTACTAAAATCAACTGTTTTTATAATTTTTTTCTTTATTTCCCTATCACCCTCAATGGCGAGGTACTTCTGATAGATCTGTAAAGAAATTTTATCAAAGGGCATTTGAATTAAATCAAATCTCTTTCAACTTACTTTAATCAAAATAACTACCTATGAAAGTATATTTAATTTCTCCTCAGCATAAAATGGTTTCTGTGCATAGGAAAGCATGTGATCTCATGTCAACTTTTAAAAAGCAGTGTAAAATTGTATGTTTGTGACAGTTCCTACTTTCTTTTCAAAGAGGCTGTATATAAAATAGGTTAATAAGCAATAAACAAAATGATAGTTATATTACTTTAATAAATTAACAATAAAACAATATTTGGATTAAGGATAAGATAATTATCCTTTCCATTTTCAAGGCCATAATCATCACCGCCAATGACCAATGGTAGTCATAAGCCCCATTCCCAAGTGTTCTTAACTGCAAACTTTCACAAAGCTACCCAAAGTCCCAAACATTCAATTAAAGTGTAACCAATTCAGTCTGAGTAATGGTCCTTACGAAAAGTAACAAAATGTACTTTTGAAGAGCCGTATGCTTGCCTCTATTAAGAGTATATACTTCAATCATTTCAGAGCAAGTGTGACAATACCATTACTTTGAAGTGTGTGATTTGATTCTTAATAGAATTTCTCAATTTGTGTATGACTATTTTCTTAGTAGCCATCCAGTTTCAAAATCATGAGAAACTTATTCCATCTTTTAAATAATGTTCACGGGTGATTTTGCCCTCTGAAACAACTCTAATTCCCGGTTTACACTCTGATAAAATATTCAAATATCAGGGCTCTGATTAACTAGGGTAGAATAATCCATTAAGAGCCACAATTTTTACAGGAAACACACTTCCACTTGGCTATTGAAATATATGTGGAATTTTATAAAAACCATCACTTTTTCTTTTCCTTTCCTACAAAGGTTATATTTAAAATTTTCTTCAGTGTTTTAAAAGCCCCCAAAACTGGAAGCTAATTTTAAAATGGAACAAAAATGTCCAGAATGTCTGGTTTCCTCTGCCTTCACATCTCTCACTCCCATACATATCTATTACAATTGTATCAGTATTGCAAGGCTCAGTTCAAATCCTTCAACTCTAATGCCTTTTTTGATCCCTGTCCTCTCTCTTCTCCAAGCTAGGTATGATTCTCTCCCTTCTCTAAATTCCTGTAATACTTGGTGGTTCTCTTATGTTATCCATCACAGTCTGTCTTGTTGCTACAAGTTAAATGGGCACTTTTCTTTCTCACATTTAGTTTGTGAGTTCCTGGAAGTCCAGGAGTATGGCTTATTCATCAGTTTCCCATATTGCCCAATACAATTACATATATATATACATATCTCAAGGGTACGATGTTTGTTAAATAAATGAAGAATCAAAGGAAAAAACTCAATGTGTTGTTGCAATTAACTATACTCTCAGGATTCTATATATAATTATATCACCTCCTCATCAAAAGGAAAAAATATTCAAAAGCCTAGATCTTACAATACTTGGAAGGAAGGCAGAGAGGCCATGTGCCAACCGAATAGGAAACAGAAGATAAAATTATAAAATATCCTTTGTGTTTCATTATCCAATGGCCATAAACTTTGAAAAATAGTGTTCTAATAATGATAATGACAATGTAATAAATTATTGTAAATATGTGTTTAATGTTTCACAGGTTTTAACATATATTTTACTCACATTATCTCAAGACAGCCAATGAAAGAAGTGGCATAGATTATCTCTATGATCTTCATTTTACAGTTGAGGAAACACATTCAGGTGGAATAAGTATCATACCCAAGGTCATTCAGCTAAAAAGTGCCAAATTAGGATTGGAACCCAAGTGTGTCTGACTCTAAGTCCTGTATGGTATGTCATACCTCACAACTGCCTCTCAAACTCCAAAAGGATGCAGTGTGTAGGTTGTTTTACCCCAGCAATGGGAACGGTTTTTGCACATTCTTCTACTCTGTCATTAGTCTGGCCATGCCTCCCAAACACTGTGCACATGATTGCAAAATAGGAAGCTAGAATTAAAAGTGGATCTGTGCTCATGGAATAAAAAGAAATCAACAAAAGCAACAATAAGTCTGGCAGGTCTGGTCAGAAACCAAACTCATCAATACTGTATGCTAACCAACTGAGTCAATGAACTGTGTGTTACTACTGAAGTTTCAGTGGTATTGCTAATAATTTATCAAACTTTACACGTAATTAACACCTTTGTCCTCTTCTAAATCATGATTCTTACCTTTATAACAGAGGCACCAGCTCTGGAGAGTGGACTGTGAATCTGGGCTGCAGCAGCCATATTGGCAATAGTATTGAGATGGTTCATCTGATTCATTGCCATGGCAACTGAAGCAGGAGGTAAACTGACTGGAATTAGGGGATGAGGCATCATCATAAATGGCAGATCCAGTCCTAAAAGAAACAGTGCATGTTAAACTTGTTACAGTATGGTGCTATGACCTAGATTTTTAAAAAGTATCTAAATTCAATGCATTTAAGTAATAAGAAGTAACTTTCTTCTTAAAATTTCTTTTTAATCATTATAATATGTTGATGTGTTGATAATTTCTAGTTTAACACTTCTTTAAGAGACTTAATAGGGATACTGGCAAGGTAGGATGTAGATTCTCTAAGCTTCAGAACTATTGAAGAAAATAACAATTGGAGTATACTACACCTTCTTAGATATAAAACTCCAGAATGAATGCTTATAGCTCTAATTTGAAGTCTTTGTCAAAAAAGAATAACTTCTCTATCCAACTGTTTTCTGGTTTAATAACAAATACCAATATTGTTGAATAGTATCAGTAATTCCATTTGTTTTCATATGCAAATTGAAATAATTTTTACACATTTTAACATCTTAAAGTCTATCTCTCAAGTATTATGCACATTCCATTCGTGCTAGCCACAGATATGTTATCATGTAAAAGGTAGCGAATTAAAATAGTTGTCTATTTACACTTTATCAGGTTGGGATTTGTGAGAGGAAATAGCTTTGAGCAGAGGCTAGGGAAAGTTACCATAACGTTATGAATGTTAACACTTTACAATGTATTTTAAATTAAACTATTACCTCTGCAGTAATCTTGCCTTATTTTGGACAGAAGCCCAGAAACCAGTAATTTTTAACAGATGTTCCAAAACATCCTTGCCTATAATTTTCCTAAATTATTACAAACTACAGAAGTTCTATGATTGGCAACATATACATTAACCCTACACACAAATATCAACTATTTATAACATCCCGTTTTCCTCTTTGCCATCCCTTCCCTTCACTTTTTCTTTCTCCCCATATCACAACAGAGAACAACAGTGAATCTATAAAAAGTATATATACTTTGGCCCCCTAAATCCCATCGCTCAAAACAACAGTGCCAGTAATACAAACACTGCAGACACATTTTTTTTAGGACAAAGATATTCTCCCATTTGGTGGATTGTTTTTTTCTTCTCTTAACACTGTGTTTTACAAATCAGTTTTTAATTTTAATAAAGTCCAATTTTAATAAAGACTAGAAGGAAGAAGTGATGTTAATTTATTTGAGGTCCATCTCCTGATTTTAACTATGCTGGTTGATTTAAAGCTGTTAACAAGAAATTGCAAAGGCAGCACAATAAAATAAAATATACTTCCAGATAGGACAGGTCTCATACAATACTGAAGTGATCACCTCAGTTAAAGGAATTCCTAAATCAAAAACACATCAGTCACCAATATTTCTGATAAAGACAGCCACAAAATGCACTGTGATTAGAAACACACAAGGATCAAAACAAACTTAGAAACTTAAATTCTGTATGGAACTCAAGCAAAGGAACATTCTATGTACTATCTCCATATCCCAGAGAATATTAATAAAATATTTTAAACTTTTCCCTTATCAGTGTTCACTTATGGCTCATTTTCTCTAAATCCTTTCCACGAGCAATGTGCCAAACTAAACTTACCAGCTACGAAACATTTTTCCTGGGATTATTAATTCATCAGAGAAGTCTCAACACAAGGCTTACAACACTGAATTCAAAATGGCCTTCCCCACTCCATTTTATTTGTTTTTATTCATATATATTTTTAAAATTTTACTGTAAATTGACAACTTATAATTGTATATATTTATGAGACATAAAGTGATGTAATGATATATACATACAATCCGGAACGATTAAATAAAGCTAATTAACATATCCATCACCACAAATACATTCTGAAGGACATAATGTTAGGTAAAATAAGCCAGGCACAGAAAGACAAATACTGCATGAGTTCCCCAATATGTGGTACCCATCCCCTTTTAAACTAGAATTTTTTCAGTTAGCCTTCCAAAATTACTTAGATGCATATGCATTTTAATTCTTTATTCATCATATAGCTTATGCTATAATGATGGAATATTTTATAACGTATATTAAATTAATCACTGTTTATCTTTCCCCCAAAACCTTCACATTATGCTCAACATAATAGCAACCATCAAGGACCTAAATAGGTTTCTATATAAGGCTCATTTACCACAAACCCAAGATAGTTATTGACTGCAATTCTTTGTGCACACAGTGTTTTAGTCGTGAATTGATCAAACTGTACATAAAAAGTAGCCATCAGTGCCTCCCTTCACCTTTCAAATGCTTAAATAAGCCTTTGTTCATTTTACACTTTCCTTAACACTGTAATAATCTTTCCTCATTCTCCAAAGATTTTCAGCATCACCCAAACACCATCTGGCCATATCAAGAAATATGCCTACTTAAAGTCCAATTGACATGCAAACTAAATGCAAACTAAAAACAGAATTTAGCAGCCCATTGACAGTTTTAAAATAAATTCATCAAACGCTTCAAATAACCATGAAGGACTTAAAAGTCATACTTTCAGGTCATGACCTGCAATATCTAACCATCAATTAATATAATGCCCTAGACTCTAAGCTAATATTTACATTACAGGCCAGTTTAACAGTGACCCCACATGAGCTCCACATGCAAAGCATATGCAAATACTGAATTATGTAAGTCAACCTTTCCCCAAAGCTGAAAACATTAAATTAAAAGCCATCAATAGAACACAACACTCCAGCAATCCGGCTCATTCACATGCCAGATAAGTATGTAGACTTTTAATAGTATGGTAATGAAGACAAATCCTTTTTAAAAAATCACCAAAATGGATCATCTCTTTTCTGTCAACCTCAAGGACATTATGCAAGCTACCATGAGCATCATTTCTACTGCATGCTGGTATTCCAGCAACTCCTATAATTTTTATGTAAGTGCATGGCATCACCTCCTCATAGCCATAAAGGGTATGAACTTCTGTAATCCTCTAGTTCTCCCTCTAAATCCCACAGTGATTTGCTTCCCAAGTCACGTTGACCTCTGTAATATCTTGCCATTTTCACAATGACTTCCAGGCATTAATTTCCTTATGCCAGTGCCCTGTCTTCCTGTTTGGTCTTCCTATGCCTTTTCATTTGCCTTTCTACTCAAATTTTGAAAGTACTCAGCCATAAAAAAGAATGAAATTCTGCCATGTGCAGCAACATGGAATAGCCTGGAGAAAATTATGTTAAATGAAATAAGCCAGACACAGAAAAAAATACCGCATATTCTCCTTCATACCTGGGTGCTAAGAAAAAAAGAAAGAAAGAAAGATAGTAAAAGAGAAAGAAAGAAAAAAGATAATAAGGGGAGGAGGGAGGAAGAGAGGGAGGGAAGGAGGGGTACAGAGTGAGAGAGTGAGAGAGTGAGAGAGTGAGAGAGAGAGAGAGACAGAGAGAGAAACCACAAAACTTTCGCAAAGAGATAAACCTAAGGATACTAGAGATGGAGGCGAGGGAGGTAGGGGAGTTGGAGAGTGGTAGGTAGGGTGGAGGGCATGGGGAAAGACTGATTTGTAATGATGAGTATGCTAATAATAAAATAAAATAAAATGTCCAGGGACGACTTACTACCTCTAGAATCAAATAATCAAATAAAATCTCTTTGATTTAATACAGAATTGCCTTTCTAGTTTTGATATCTAGTAATTTTCTATGTATGTTCTACTCTAGCCAGATCCACTGGACTATTTGCAGTTCCCCACAGTTTTAATTCACCTTAGCCTTCACTCATATTGATGCCTCTCTCTGGAATCTGCCCCTCTAAATCAAATCATTTGCCTACACTAAAGTCCACTCCCTTCTGTTTTAAATTAACAGACTTTATTTTTAGAGAAGTTTTACGATTACTGAAAAAAAAATGAGCAGAAATAACAGAATTTTCTTTTGCCTTCACTGTCAGCAAACAGTTGCCCCTCTTATTAATATTTTACATTAATATTAATGTGTTATATTGTTACAATTGACAAATCAATATTGATATCATATTAAATATAGTCCATAGTTTGCATGAGAATTCACTTTTTGTGTTGTACAATATATGGGTTTTCATAAATGCATAATATTATGTATCTACCAGTATGGTATCATACAGAATAGTTTCACTACACTAAAAATTCTTTGTGCTCTGCCTGTTCATCCCTCCCTCCCCCCAACTTCTGGCAACCACTGATCTGTTAACTGTCTCTGCAGATTTGCCTTTTCCTGAATGCCACATAGTTGGAATCAAACAGTATTTAACCTTTTCAGACTGGCTTTTTCACTTACCAATATGCACTTAAAATTATTCCAGCTCTTTTCAAGGTTTGATAGCTCATTTTTTGTCCTTATTGCTAAAAATTGTTCCATGCTTTCAGTGTACCACAGCTGGTTTATGAATTCACCTATTGAAGGAAACGTTGGTTTCTTCTACTTTTTAGCAAATATGAATAATGTTGCTATGAACATTGGTGTGTAGGTTGTTGTGTGGACATAAAGCTTTAAATTAATAGGGAAGACATTGATTAGCTTTATAAAAAATAGCCTAAATTTCTTAAAAAGTGGCTATACCATTTTGCATTCCCACCAGCAGTGAGTTGAAAGTTCCTGTTGCTCTTCATCCTTGACAGTAATTGATATTGACAGAGTTACAGATTTTAGCTATTCCAATAGGTGTGTAGGAGTATCACACTGTTTTAATTTACAATTTCTTAAAGACATACAATGTTGAGAATGTTTTCATATGCTTATTTGCCATCTGTATATCTTATCTGGTGAGGTGTTTGTTCAAGTCTTTTCCCCACTATTAACTGGATTTTTTATTTCTTAATGTTGAGTTTTAAGAGTTCTCTGTATATATTCTATCTGTTTTTATCATATATGTGTTTTGCAAAGATTTTCTCCCACTCTATGGCTTCTCTTTTCATTCTCTTGTCAGTATGTTTCACAGAACAGTTTTAATTTTATCAAATTCCAACTTATTATTTTTTTTTTCTTTTAAAGGATCATGCTTTTGGTTTTGTATCTTAAAACCCATTGTTAATCCCAAGACCA